TATCTATCTGGACTCAGGGCTAGAACTAATTCTAGCCTGGTGCAGTGCCTAGCCAGTGAACAGCACCCTGAACAAATGTTCTGTGTTTGTGTCCTGGTCATCTTCTGCTTTGTAAATCAGTGGCGCTCTGTTGATAATGAATCTGCGGCATCTGTGTCCATAATGACCCTTAAACTGCTCTGCTTATGCACCGCTGACACTCAGTGACGACTATGGAAACCAGAGCCAGGGCCTCAGGGTTACCTCATCCAGATTTAATTAAATCAGAGAAAAAGATTTTTTTTGAAGAAATCCTGGTTCTTTCATTCCCTGGCCTGGTTAGCAGAAGAATCTTGACTGTTAACCTCTTGGTGAGACATTTATAGGAGTACTGGAGAAGGACATTTGGCCCTTATCTATTATTTTTCTTAAGACTAGTACAGTATGTATTATGCGCCCACATGTATGTCTGTAATTTTTGCTGAACCTTTAGGTAAATCATGATTATCATGACATTTTACCTCTAAATACTTAATACAGCATATCCAAGAAGTAAAGACAGTGTCTCATATAATACCAGTAACATGTTTATAAGAAAACAAAAATTCCCTAACTTCATCTAATACTCATACACAGATGTCTTAAACATTTTTCTTCTCAAACCAGCATGCAATCAGGGTGTGCATTGTTTTATATCATTTCAGACGGTAATAATCTAGAACAATTATCCTACCTCCCTGCCCACTTTCTTTCCCTCCTTGACATTGACTTGGAGACCAGTTTGATTTCTTGTAGATTGTCCCACATTCTGGATTCGGCTGATTGCCTTCTTATGTTACTCATTTTAACCTATTTACCTATTCCTGATCATTCAAATTTCTGTAAATTGGCAGTTGTGTATAAATGTTTGATTACATTCAGGGTTAGCATTTTTTTGCAAGAATATTTCATAGGTGAAGCTGTATATTTTGCCATTATGTCAAGAGGCACAATATCTCATCTTGCTTTTAGTTAAACTAAGTTTGATTTCTTGATTAAGGTACTGTCTTTCATTTTAAAATTCTCAGAAGTTTATATACTTAGCTTCCATGTCATTCTCAAAAAGAGGAGAAAATGTTCAAAATAACATTCAAATTCAGTTTGTTTATGAGCTAAATTTAGTAATCTCCATTTTTTTCAGTTTATTTTGTTTTCTGATTTAAGGTGAAACTTATTTTTTTATTATTTTTTTTATTTTAAAGATGACCGGTAAGGGGATCTTAACCCTTGACTTGGTGTTGTCAG